TCTTTGTCTTTTTAACCTGTTGTTGCTGCTGAGTCAGTTTGACATCCTGGATATATCCTTCAAACACAGACTGTAGACCCCTCTGTCTGCTTCTCTCTGGAATCACTGTTTCATTTCTCCAAAAAAAATATGATGATATTTCTTCAGGGAGTGCAGTTAGTTACTCCGACAGCTTGTCGGACCATCACAAAAGGGCAGGGCTTAGCGAAAGGTCAATTCCCCTACAGCCCAAGCTAACGTCTTAGAATTGTTTGTTTTATTTGAACAACAGGCAGGCCTTTCTAATAATCATAGAGGACTAAGAAAACCAAGAAAACACTGACATTTGAGCAGATAGAGCAAGGTCCTTTTTGGCCCATTTTGCTTAAAACTTATCTGAAATTCACTGATGTTACAAACTAATAACTTGAGACATATTTCAGCCATAATCCAAGGTTACATCTTCCCCAGAGTATCACAAGTCACACTACAGTGTATTTATTTGTCTACTGATGGTCTGTAAGAAGTTATTAAAACAACAAAAAGCAACAATTCATTCATGCCATATAATATTTATTAGCCAAGGTGCACCGAAGTGGCCTCTTTACTGAGAGAAAATTATTTTTACAAACTGCAAAATGTGCAAAACTCTCTGCATACGACAGCCCAAAGCTCTTCAGACGCAGTTAAAAACACGAGATGCCCCGCGGAGGTTGAAATGTTATGATGCTTTAATCAATTTGAGCTCCGTTAACGGCACAGAAGGTCCGTTGTACTCTGAATCTGCATCCTGGTCCCATGTGGATACTGTTCCTATACTTGCTGAGAGTTTGGGGGTAATAAAATCTACACAGTAGGGGATTTCTATGATTTAGGCAAAGTGTATATGAGTATTAACTGAAGCTAACATTATCTCACATACAGTGCACCACCCATTGTGATCTTTAAGCACAGATTCGTCCCTGACAAACTCCTACATGTGTAAGTTATGGATGATTTAGCTAAAGTGAAGAATAACTCCTCCAGAAACATACAAAAGCAGGCTTGTTCTCAGAGGAGTGTACAGAGGAAAACAAAGATGTAAATGGACAGATGCATCCACTCAAATGCAAGAATAATCCAGGACCCATGTGCATTCTAATGCCGCTTTTGGCACCAAACCTCGCGATGTAGCTGGAATCTTGGTGGTGTTCACATGTCTTAATTCAAAATGAAGGATTGCACTGTCCTCCGTGGCTTGAGAAAGATCTATGAGCGTTGGGCTTGCAAGCACCTTTCAAAACCCTCCGGAGGAGCTGAAAAATGCGTGGTCGTCTGGCCAAAAGCAAAGCTATTTTTCTGAGGTTCCTGAAAAGATGACATTTTGGAAAGGCATGATTTTCCCTCCTCAACAGTGCAATGCTCCAGTCTGCTTTTGTGGTGCAGCTGAACAGGGTTTGAGCTTGTTTGCATCACATTTATTCGACTACAGGTTTGTGATATGTATTTTTCAAGATAATAACCAGCAGGTGTGTTTGGGAAAATTCCCAGCTCCCGCACTGTTTTCTTTTCATGCACTGCCTCATTGTAATAGATGAATGATCGGCTTTATTCCCCCGGAAATACCTCAACATTAATGGAGTGCAATTGGCACACAGGAATAAGATAGCCTGCGAAAAAGTCTTTTAAAATGAGACATATTGGCTCAGACAGCAGGTGAGGTTGTGTCAAGTTTTACAATGAGCTTGTAATACACTTTCTATTGAGGGATTGATGTCCTGTACGTCCTTGCTGGACTGTTATTAAATCCCAACAGAATCCCCTCTGCTGTTTCTGACCTACAAGTGCCGACTCCACTCGCTCCATCTGCTTCATTACAGCGAAATGAGCTGGTAGATATTAGCAGGTAGTGCAGTTTCATTGTTTTGGCAGGCCAGAGAGCTGCCTTTTTATAAAGCAAGCAGCGGCCTCTCAGCTAAAGTGCATCACGCTGGCACACGTTCATGTCAATCAAGGTTGATGTGCTGCAGTGCTCGATATGGACCCCAGCAAAACCATCAAGAAGTGGATATGATGCCAGTTGGTTCTGCTGCTCAGTGGTAGAAGTAGTATTCAAACCCTTTGCTTCAGTAAAAGTACCAACTATGGATGAGTGAGTACACCATTATCTGTATCTGTGTCTGTATCTGTTTAACCGACTAAATTATATGTATTTGTACTTAGAATGGCCGGAGTTTATCCCAGAAGTGAATGGGGTTTAAGTCGAAAGTAGCTTGGGCCTAATCAGAAGTTGCTATGTTAAGCCTCAAATTTATATGAACTAATGAGAATCTGCAATATTTATTACCTGCGAGAAAAGTATTTACAGAACAGCCTCAGCATTGAGCTGAGAATAACAAATCAAACACAGCTATTTTCCCTCATCACGAGTACAGATAATGACATGTTTTACTCATATGATACTCGTACTTCTTAAAAATACATGATCTGTACCGGATACTTGTTTCATGCGAGTATTTGACTCAACCCTAGTACCAACACAACAATGTAAAGAAATACTCCATTACAATTAAAAGTCTTGAATTTAAAATCCCACGTAAGTAAAAGTACTAAGGCATCATCAGCAAGTGTATGTAAAGTCCAAATGAAATGGTATTTCAAGTATCATAACAGTGAAGCCCTGACGATGTAATTTCAACTGGTTAGTAGTAGTAGTAGTAGTCAGGGGCGATTGCTCTGAGACAACAAGGGAGGCTGAACTTCCCCTAAAATATCATAGAAGAAATGGTCAAATATGCACTATTGAATTTACATTAAAATAAGAATTTACATTGCATTAAATGTGCGCTAGGATGCGTTTAACACCATGACAATGATGTTCAAACGTCAGCTGTTTATCACCAGTTTTCAAACGCGACCTCCCTGTCATACATTCTCGTGTCAGCACGTTGATGCGGAGCCTCCAAGCATTCCTATGAGACAGCGCTGAGCAGGTTTTTTTCATGCAGCAAAGCGAGACGATCATTGGATAAATGCGACAAAATCGTCACTTCCAGGGAGGCTCAGCTTCCCTGGGACCTAATGGAGCGGTAGGCGGGAGAGGACGCTCGGTGTATGATGATGATTGGAGGAATTGTCTAAAAGGCTGAACCCCTTTGTGACTGACAGCGCGTTTCGAGCTCAGTCCCATGCGGATATTTGCAAGCGGAGTCTTCTGACAGAGTGCCGTCCGGAGTGTGGTTCTATGGCATGAATGTGGTTGAAAACGGCTTCAATTCAATGTTGCTGTTATAAGTTACTGCCTCGCTAGCTGTCCCAGATACCTCTTTCAGAAAAGTGAACAAATTTTTGTCAGTGTGCCTTTATAGCCCTGTGGACATGCTGTTACTAGCTAACTAACTTAATCTTAGCTCTCTGTGGCTAAAAGTTGCAGATTAATTTATGGGGTGGATGTCATGATATTGACTGAGATTACTTGGTACTTGCCTACATAAGCACACGTCATGTTTTCTTTAGCAGGAAAACCCTGATTGGATTTTTGACTTAAGAATACTGTTGATTTTCTTTTTTTCTCCACATATATTGTTAAACAGGGGCACAATATGTCCAGGGATGTGTCTCTGGGTTTGAGTTGGAGGATTAAAAAGACATTTTTCATTTCATCTCGACTTTAAAGTGAAAAATTGAAAGTAATGGTTTGAGTTGGAGCTAGTTTCAACTACTCTACATTCAGATGATTAATGGTGATAGACAGAGGACGTTCTGCAAGAAAACTGTGAATTACATTTTAGAACTTTTTTATCTTTATTTTTAAAAAAATATTGAATAATTTAACCTCATTGGGCCTCAAAGAGTTAATTAAATAAAACCATCTGAAAAAGTCTAAACGAAAACTGTTTGATGGAAATGCTATCAACTTATACACATCTAGAATGTAACAAGAGACTTCAACTAGACATGACTTTCTTGAGACAACTTACAAGCCAAAATTTTGCGAACTGCTGGTTTCATCTTTACCAGAGTGTTGCATTTTATAAGCTTTTTATTTTAATTATTAACAAATATTAATCTGAAAGTGAAAACTAGTAATTATAGATGTAAAATAAATGTAGTGCAGTGAAGCAGCCCACAATATTTGCTTCCAAAATATAGTGTAGTAGAAGTATAAAGGAGCAGAGAATGGAAATACTCAGGTACCTCAAAACTGTGCTTTTACTTCAGTAAATGTACTTAGTTATTTTTCAGCACTGCTGCTGCTCACCTGAATGATTAACCTTGAGGGTATAAGGATTGATCCCCTGCACGCCTCCCTCTAAGTCCTTCATGCTCTGGTTTTACATCTGGGATAATGTTATGCTCTCTCTCCAACAGAGAGAAGGTGTCACATCATAAAGCTAACGTCTTCCTCTTTTTTTTAAGCAGCACGCGTCATTCGATCCTCCTGTGCCCCCTGCTGCGGCTCACAGAGCGCCGACATCCAGCACAGCTCCTCTCGCTGGAAGGTATCAGGATTTGGATGCACCACCAAATCCACCAGACAGATGGATTTACTATCTACACTGCATCCGATACCGCTGGCTCAGCAGAAAGCAGCGCCTTACTCAGGAGCTGGGTCACAGAGAAGGAGACGGATTGAATTCTGCTGTCGATATGTGGGCGCGCGAGTCGACCTGCAGTGCAGAAATGCAGTGATTTCTGGCTCTCAAAGCTTCGCTACAACCTTTAAAAATCACCACACAAGTAGCTGTACATGTCGTAGACCATTAACTGCAATTTGCATATATTTTACATTACTGCACACCATTTTTAAAGAGCGCCTCGGCTTTCAGATTGATTTCCTACCTTCCATTTCCCTCCACTGGTTTCTATTAATATCACTGTGAAAATCACAAGACTTAAAATTTGCTTGACACAGATCGTCCATCACAGTGACCATTTGTAATTTATCGTTAAAGTTATAATACTGTCATGTGGTAATGCAGTGTGAGCTGATTTTAAGACGTGTCTTCTATGTGCCCAAGGAAACCGTGACAACCGACAAATGGGTAAACATTTTACACATGTTGTTTGTTTCTCATTCGTCTGATTTCCCAACAAGATATCTCTTAAGATTAAAAGTTTGCTTTTGATTCTGAAAACAGAGGTTGACAAAATCATCTCGCCACAGTTTCAACTAAGAAGATGTTCTGGAGCTTTCGATTGCATCACATAATCTTCCTCAGCAGAGGGAGTTTACACAGTATTCATGGAGATATAGATGTTACAATTCTCATTTTTCTTTCGGGGTTGTATCCGCAACCAAAGCGCCTCAGCTGAAAAAATGCTGCACCTCCAAAGTGTTCCCAAGCGCTCCCAGCCAGGTGTCTTTTGAGGAGTGCCTGGTGTTTTCAGCTGGGAGAAAAGTGCTTTCGGTGGACACGGGGTCTTAAAGTGGAGAAAGAACATTCAACTTTCCCCCCTCTGGTGTTTCAAAGTGGTGCTATTGTCGACACCGCTGTCGCTAAGATAACCACATCACTTTGCATTTTTTTCTTTTAATAACCTAGCAACTGAGCTCTTTCTTTTGCCTGGTACAGTCTCCCTAGTTACTTGGTTGTTCCACTGCTGCTTGTGTCTCTTTCTGTTTTGGTTGCACAATGGTTGAAACATGTCCTCTGTGCCAAAAATTGAGCCTCCATTTTCCCCAGGAGATGTCACATGTGGTGGCACCGAACTGCATAGTAAAAGCGAGGCTTATAGGGAATAAAATCGAAATGCCACTGTGGCGTCAATACTCTATAACCATTACACTGTCCAATCAACATTTACTTCATGATGGTTGCAGCAAAAACTTTAAGGACTTCTTGTCCACGTTGGCTTAAAACTTGTTTGTCAGCGACTGTTTCCAAGGATCAAGAATGAACTTTTAAGCCAACATGGACGCTTGCTCAGAAAAATGGAGATTTGAACATCTACAGATCATGTGATTCGACAAGAAGCTCCAGAGCAGTGAGACTGCTTTGTTAACAACACAACCTGTAATTGCACTGCTTTTTTATCAACTGTCTCAAACCTCAGATGTCAGAATGTCCTTAAATGCACCACCGAGGATTGATTGGAATATGATGAGAATTAACTTTGACATTAAACAAAAGAATGTCACTGTGACCAATTTCAAGACAGTTTCAAGTCACAGCAGGTCCATTTTCATACTTCATCAGAATGAAATACAGTTGATGGTTGCCTATAATATATTCTGGAGACAGTCAAACCTGTGGTATGGTTTAGAAAATGGTCAGAAGTAATGTACAGGAACATAGACACAACTTGAATTTAATGGGCCATACCATATACATGGTCCATTAAAGCTGTGGGCATATAAATAAATTCCCATTCCCACATTACAAGACGATTTGTGTCAAAGTAAAAGCTACAAACTTTGTAGAATTTATGAACTCTTGAGTCAAACAAACCTGGTCGACTCTGTACGATGGCTGCTGGCGTGGCAGGCTGAGGAAAGGTGGCACTCGAGTTGGTGAGAGGGAGGTGTGGGCGGGCAGCACCCTGTGGTGTGCTGGAAGAGGAGGCAGGGTGGGTTGGCCCACGCTCAGAGACACCGGCATGGGCTGGCTGATGTGTAAGGGCTGGTAGAGGGGCAGTCTGCGCAGGCTGTGAGAGTGGAAGTTGTGTGGGGGGAGAAGAGGCTCGGCACTCAGGAGAGATGGCTGTAAAGAGGAGGAGAGGAAGTTATTTTCAGGAGCTCTTACAGTTCTGTGTAATGGCAGCAGAACACAGACTTTTGTTATAGGTGTTACTAACAATCTCTGTTGTATTCAGGCGCCCCAGCGAAGCCATGGCAGCGTGACATGGAGCCAGCATGTATAATACCAGTCTTTAAAGTTATGTGCACTTTGTTAAAATGTGACACCGCCAACACCTTTTCTCCTCCACGCTCACAACCCCAGATATCTTGTGTCCTCTGAATTTTTTATGCAGCGCTGAAACAATTGGCAATGAATCTTTGGTTGACCAACAGAAATCTAATGAGCAACTATACTGAGTGCGTTATTCATCTTTTATCAAACACAGATTTGCTGTTTTTCTTCTCAAATATGAGGAATTTCTGCTTTTCTCACTTTTATATTATTGTATTAAATATTACTTCAATATTTCTTTGGTTTTAGGCTGTTGGTCAGCCAAAACAAGCAAATATGAAGTACCTGGGTAGGGTTGCACTGTACTGGTGCGGGTCATGTATCTGTGTCAATATGTGTAGGTATGTGATCGTTATCAGTGGTTCTCAACCAGGGGTTCAGGGACCCCAAAAAATGTGGAATAGTTTATATTCACTGTTCAATTCATTATAGAAGTGATCCCAATGTGAGTTAGAGCAGTGGTTCTCAAATGGCGTGCTGTGATGTAAGTCCAGGTGTGCCATGGGATTCTGTGATAACCACACATTATTACTGCAATATTCAGCTGAAGTTACGAATTCATTTTTAATGGACTGTATCAGTATGTTGTGACCACCCATTTCCTAATAAAGAGGCAAAATCTACCTATATAAACCTTCACAGGGAACCTATTTGTCACCGTTTGCACAAGGGAATAATAAGTGTGTTACACATCACATTATCTTACATTATTTCCCGTTCAAATGGATGTTATTGGTGCTTTATGTAATTTTCTAACGTTTAAAATTAATTCTTGAATCATTTTGTTAATAAATATTGAATATAATAGTTGGTTGTCAACTGTTATTCCATATTAGTAAATAAAACAAATATTTATGTCATGATAAGAGTGATAACACAGGCTACAGAGGCTATTGTGCACAGATATAAATACAGGTGTGCCTTGAGATTTTGGCTTGCCCTTTTGTTGTGCTTTTCAAAAAAGTTGAAAACCACTGAGTTACAGTCGTAAGAGTGATTATTCTGGTTTCGCTCCTCAATTGTAGTAGACAAGTAGAGAATTCTGGTCTTAATCATATCTAACAAGCAAAATCTTGACCATGACCTTATGTGTATCAATTTAACGCCAGGGCCACACCGGACGCGGAAGCGCTGCGAATAGCCTCGAAGCGAAGCCAGTTTCCTTTCAGTGCCCATGTTAACCGATTGTGTCATCCACACCGGCCGCGCCGCGCAGCTCTGTGGCCGGTGCTGCAGCGATTGTTTCGGCGTCTGGTCTATTTTCTGCGCGAGCCGCGAGGGAATGTGTCAAGCCGAGCAGGAATATAGGCTATACATATTAGTCAGTGGTATCTAAACAGAGCACAAGAGAGATGAACACACACTCACACCCACTAACACACACACACACACACACACACACACACACACACAAGAAAGAGAGAGAGAGAGAAAGAAAGAGCGAGAGAGAGAGAGAGAGAGAGAGAGAGTGAGTGTGGGCTGGCTATAGGGGGGTACACGCAAACAGAGAGAGATACCCATGATGGAAAAACAGCCCCAAACGTGACAGAGACAACAGCTGGGAGCAGAAGCGCTTGTTGACCGGCGTGGAGAAATGCGCGTCTGGTGTGAACAGGCTCGCGTGAGAATTTCGGTGTGCTGCGCTTCGCAGCACTTCGCTGGCAGTGTGGCCCTGGCGTTAGGCTCCCTGATACAAAAGAGGGTTGAGAACCACTAACTGTATTACTCTTTTCAATCATGGCTGCTTGTTGATTGGTGTTGCATGCTGCTGCCACCTCTGATGTGTCCTTTCTGTTTGGGAATAGGTCTATTTATTAAGGCTGCACTGAATAGTTTGAAGCTTCAAAGCTTTGTTCATAAAGTTGACATTTGAATTCTGAATCAACATTTGAACAGGGATATCTGAAATGCCGATATATAAAAACTTATTTGGCAGATAACCGTTATCGATATATCCCCCTTTTTACCCACCTAATTAGTGATCATCAAGTCTCTTCTGTAGTGGAATTAACATCATATTACGCATGCATACTCTTATCGTGATGATGCACCAGCAGATGGAGACATGAAATACATGCTTTTCACTGTATGTGATATTTATTCATTGTGCAAAATAAGAAAAAGCATGTGTGCTGATTCTGATGGTTCATTTTAAAGGCGATACCGTTGATGCGCCGATAGTACAGCATCCCTACATTTGAATGCTGCGCAGCTTATTCCCCCCATGTTCATTCATTCTGTTTAAACCTTGTCTTTATGCTGCAGATAAAGTTTAGGCTACACTAATATTATTACTATTAAACTCTTTGTAGAAACAGCATCCAGTTGTGGCTGCGCTGCATAGGTTTGTTTCTGACTAGTGTGATCCAAACATTTCAACACTGTTACCAAGGTTACAGCCCCTGTTTTTTACAACGAGTGAATACTGGTCACACCTAACGTCTGCACCAAACAGTTCAGATTTCAAAACAATTTAATTTAAAATGTTCTGACTTTTTTTAAATGCCATTTCTCTTTATTGTATTATAATGCTGCTATAAGCCTGAGGGTGTGATCATTATTTCATCACTGTTTATGCCCTTATTGGATCAGCCTGCTGTCTACATGTATTTATACTGACAAAACCGACGGGTTGTATTCAATAAAAAAGTGGATTAAATTTGAAAAATATCTAATCTGATGAATCACTTTATTCAAGTTGAGGATTTTGTTTAAGGTGATGACATCATAAAATATGACGACAGACATTTGAAGCACATGAAAACCTCGACAGAAGCTTCAAAGGTCATTGGGTGCAGCCCTCCTCGAGCCTATTCAGATGATTTCTTACTGTTTGTGCTTCCCTTTCAGATCCTGACCCTCAATATGTCTTTCACAAGTTTCACATCAGGTCCAAAAGTCTGTCCCACAAAGACCTTTAATTTAAAGATGTCAGACGAGCCTTTGGGGAATTCTGAGGTGTGTTTTTCACTTTCCTCTGACACCTCGTAGACTAAATGGAGCAACGCCTGCGAGCTAGTTCAGGCCGTCAACTCAAACTGCACTGATTCATACACATGTGTCATACCTCACTCTCCATAGGTCATCTACAGAACACACCCTCTAAACTTAGCGGCCTATTTGAGCTGCAGAAATTTCCCTCTGCCTCGTCAATGCTGCCTGCTCTTTCAGCGTCACCTCCACCCCAAAATCAACCTGCAAGATGGGGGGCAGCAGGCATTTAATCATCACCTCCCAACACCTCATGTAAACATATCTGCAGGGAGTGATGAAGCCGGAGTCCAGAGGCCAAACTCTAACTACGTTCTTGTGTGAAAATAAACATTTCAAACATTATTTGTGTGAAATGGTTATCAGATCAGCCAAACAAATAATAAACACATTAAATAAGCATGAAAATAATCATCAGCAGCAGCCCTTGTCTTTCGTGTAGCCACTGCAGTGCAGGCGTAAAAAGTAAAACTCTCGTTATCGTGAAAGAGCTGATGTCAGAATCAGTCGTAAAACTGGAAAACAACATTATTAGATATGACGTGCTGAAATTGTAAAAGCCAGAGTCTGACCACATGTCCTGACCAGCTGTTACCCCTCCGCTCCAGAACAAACCAATAACGCCGCCTAAAATGGCCAGAAAGGATTTGGCTGCTGGACAATACACACACACACACATACACACACACACACACACACACACACACACACACACACTGCAGATGTATTCAAAAAGAGCTGCTGATGCTGACTGACATCTGGACATCAGCGAGTGGCTGAAGCGGTCACCATAATGAGAACAGACAGGCTGTTTCATTCTGGTGGAGAGAAAACTACTCCACATGAACTGGATGAACCTCTATGCTCAATTAGAATATAAATATAACTTTTATACACACAGTTGCCGCAGATCCAGACCAGTGCAAACACATCCACACACTCATGAATATAAATGCATGTACCTAGTTAGTCTTGTCACATACATACAAATGATAGGTAATCTCCCGCTGTGCTTATCACTTTCAACAAACAAATCAAAAACCTGCTTTCTCCCTCTGCCGGAATCAATCAACTCTGCTCCCTTCTCACACAAAAATCTGTTTTTTTTTATCACAAACTAAGTATTAAAAGGAGCTGAGTCTCATTTAAATGGAGCAATCTCTCCATTACACTTTCTCTGCCTCCCGTCAACAAAAGCACTGTAATTATTATTTCTAGGAGAGAAAGAGAGGGAGAGAGATTGAGAGGCTGAATCAATTATCCGGTATCCGGTTTTGTCAACAAGCCTGGAAGCATGACAACTCCAAACTGAAGCTCGGAGGTTAGTGAAGGAATCTAATAGAGTGTGATTACAAAAGAAATCAAATCAAATGGGCCATGACAGAAACGAGCACACAAACACACATGTGTACAGTAAACATATGGGTGTATATAAACATACAGTACACACGCTGATTAATGCGGCGTATACTGTCGGGAGTGACTCACCTTATAAATGTTGGCTCCAGAGGGTTTGGGTGGAGGCTTGCGCTGTGGTGTGGGTCTGTACATGGACTGATTCCTGATGGGGCTGGTCGGCCTGTTGGCCTCCACAGATCTATAAGCACGATACAAGCACGGTTTCCATTATCAGGTAATTAACTTTGCTTTTTTTTCTTTTTCTTTTAACCAGAAATGCAGCTGAAGTCAAACATATTTAAATATCTCTGCTCATAATGTCCAGTGAAACTAAGGGTGTTTTCACATTTAGTCCTTTTTAAACAAACCAAACTCAGTCCTCTTAAAGTGCACCCAGTTCATTTGAAAGAGGACTCAGTTCTCTCTCTGGTCCACTTCAGCTCTGATGGGGCCTCAGTCCTCTTTCTGTTCATACATATTTATACCGACATAGTTTATTTTATTTATACCTTGACACGGCACTGCAGTGCGGTTATGAAGCCCCTCGCTTTCAGATGAACTTAAAATTGGAGGAAAACCTGAGTGTTTCTGAGCTGTAGACTGTTGCCGTTTGTTGAGTTCTACACTCCACATCTGGAGATGCACAATATCTTCATGGACCAAACTACTCCTCGTCCTGCGTCCTTGCAACTGTTACAGGTCGACGTGGTTTCATCTTATTTTCAGATAGCATGTGATCTAAAGGGCTAAGAGCAGAGTGAATCTGGAGTGCTTTGTGTTCACAATGCATAGGTTAAGTGAATGGCACTGCGGAGTTTGGTTCACTTCAGAGGGGTCTGAGTTCTCTTGGAGTGTTCACATATGCCCAAAAAATACTGGCTCACCACTCTGAGTCCATTCAGAGTGCTGAAAAGGACCAAGTGTGAAAACACCTTGCATTGTTTTCTATTGGAATATCCTCACTGACCTTGAGCTGAACTTCTGTCGGATGCCCTGTTACTAGTTTTTCCGAATGTTCGCTTTGAACGCACCGCAATGGACAAAGAACCGCTGATTTGTAAAGTTAAAATGAAGGGTTAGGTAGACAATACCTTCTTATTTTACTACAAAAACCTAAACTTAGAAGAATTATCCTGGAAACACTTTTTTTTCCACCTCGCAAACCTTTTGTTTCTCCTACAGAGCCCCTAAAGTCCCATAAGGTGATATTTTCTATAATAACAGGCTAACTTGTTCCCACAGGATAATGAACTTGTACGCAGAAAATAAAAAATATCAACTTTAGGGGGCTCCATATATTCCACCTGATTCACATATTTCATCTACAATGCAATGCAGGACTTTCCTAAAACACAATTTATAAACTCATACAGAAGTAATTCCTTTCAATCATCGCTTATGACCTACTAGAACTGTGTAGCCGTGTATTTATCTGCCCTCTGTCTATATTTTCCTAATTTTCTGTGCTCAGGATGTTAATGGGCGTGTACCCCCACAGTCCAACACATAGCGCGGGGAAACGCCAAATGAGAGTAAGTCTGGGGTTAGTTTTTACTTTCGGCGGTGAGCGTGTTAATAAAGAGTAACTGAAAACCTAACTGAGATTGTCCTGGAAAGAAACTTTTATTTTTGCTCTTCAGTCATAAACACAGGAGAGAAAATAGTTTAGATCAGACTTGCAGGATGGATCACCAAAATTTTCGCTTGCCTCCAAGGGCCTCACTAATTTGGGGTATATTCACAGCATTTAAGTGTGTTTCTCTGCTAATCATAATTGAAAATATTGGCCTGTTTTTACCCTATGATTAAAATGATCACTCATATCAACAAGAACTTAACAGCTTCAGAAGAAAAAACAAAGTTGAGGAACATGTGAGTCAGACTGCGATGACCGTTGGTGTGTTGCTTGTTTATGTTGCCAGGCCACTGTCAGTCAAACATGATCAAACCATAACCCACACAGTCCTAATGACGCACAGTAGCTGGTGTTTGAGCGTTTAGCTCTTCATAGATGTTATCTAATGGTGTGTTTTTTCCAACTTTAACTTTGATCCTTGCTTCTTTAGTCATGAATGATTTAGGTTATAGAGAAATACTTCAATACCAAGTCTTCAAGGGCTTTAAAGGCCAAAAATATAGTTTGTTTGAACATATATACGTATATGTTACATTTAGAGAGCATCTCTGGTACATTCACATATGATGTATAATCACAAACCTTCACTGCAGATTTTTGTGGGTTTTTCTGTATTTCTCAGCTGATCATAACTAAAAATACAGACTTGTTTTTCCTTGTTTATAAATATTACTCATATAAACAACAGTTTCAGATAAGTTCACTTTTAACCTTTGAAATAGCGCTTTGATCAAGCAAGAGAAATCATTTAGCTACACAAAAACAAGTATTTATGTTATTTGTCTAATGTTATGTAGAAGCACCCATGATAAAATATTAAACTATATCAAGAAAGTGACTTGTGTCATTTTAAGATAAGGTGTAGGTGCCACACTGTAAGATGTAAGTTACAGTGAAAAGGTTTCAAATCAGTGACTTACAGCTATAAAGGAACAGTGTGTAAGATTTAGGGGGATTTAGTGACATCTAGTGGTGAGGATTTCAGATTGCAACCAGCTGAAACTTCTCCGGGTTAGAATTTCTTCAGTGTTCTTGTTCAGAAGGTTTTTAGCCAAATTATCTGCAGAGGTCTCTCCTCTCCAAAACAAGTGGACTCGGTGATTGAAACCAATATAAACACTGACTAAAGCAGTTTTAAGTTACAAATCAGCATTTCTCTGATGTTGTGCGGCACGTTGCAGACGGGCTGTTTGCCCAGCACCTCCTAACATGTGGTAACCTCTTTTCTTTTCTCTTATAACTTAATGTGTGCTAACCTTGATTCTCTGGTAAGTTAATTTCCTTGTACCGTATTCACAAAGTTTCCTGGTACTAAGAGCTGCTCCTAGTGATGAAATTCTAAGAAAATTCTCAGACATTTTCTAAGAATTTCCCCTTAAAGTTAAGACTAAGTCCTTGTACAGATTATTCGCAAAGCATCTTAGACCTTGAGAGAGCTCCTAAAGTGAAAAACTATTAGGTATTAACTACTAGGAGCAGGGAGGAGGACTTTTATGGGGTTGAAGAGTTTCTTAATCAGAGGAGAAAATGGCAGAAACACAAAGAGGTCGGAGAAATATTCTCCAAACGCTGGGTGACAGTGATTAAATGATGCTACAGGTTAAAGAAGCAACAGACAGCATTTTTTCCTAAATATATCATTATGAAAATAATGTGGGTTGCACAGGGTAGTATACACAGTAAAATCAGACTATCAGCGTTGACATAGGTTACTTAATGGCTTTGCAATCTTTGCAATAAGCTTCTGCCACCGGGGACGAATTTTCGCAGAAAAAAATCTGCTTTACGACAGGAAATGCGTCATGTATTGCCAAACTGGTCGGTCAGCCAATCAGGGACTGGAGCTGGTCCTTATGAGGAACTGGCCGGGGCATGAGATAGTTGAGTCAGGAGCACAATGGCAGACGGACAAAGTTTGGAAACAAGTGAAAAATGGCCTCCCAAAAGAAAATGAGCTAATCTGTGTGAGGAGGAGAGGATGCACAAAAAGGAGAGTGATAAAAGAAGAGGAAAAACAAGAGTAAACCTCAGTCAGGTGTTCAAGAGATGGAGGGAGCTCCGTGACACCGGTGTCCAGCTTTCTTTCTTTCTAATGGATCAGTAAGTAACACGGCTAAATGTTAGCTAGCTGAGAGAGGACTGTACTGTACTGGCTGCTAGTTAATTCCTAGCTGGCAAGCATCGCAAATCACCGCAACCAGAGACCGGGTAGCGAGTGTTGGTCGGCTGACATCCTCGTTGCCATTCTACGGCAGCCCTCGCACGTCGGGGTTCCATTCCCCTGTCAGGAGTTATTTTTCAACAGTCACCGGCTCACTATACATTATCCCTTATGTGTCTACTGTTGTTTCAACTGATACTGTGCATATTGGTATCATTTACTGTGAGCTGTTTGTACTGGTACTGTGCATTCTGCTATAATTGTTTGCATTACTATTTATTTTTTTCTTCAGATAAATCTGATAATTGTTGCTCAGTCTCTTTACTCATTTATTTAGTAGAGTGTCCACACACCTTCTCATTCTACATATACATAGAGTGGTGGCTTTACAGCCTACATTTTATTGATTATCTCTGATCACCACGGTCAATTTGGTCTTTGCAACAGTGTGAGCAACACTGCTGAAGCTAGGTGGCGCCAAGCTAAAAAAAACCCAAATCCTATCTGTTGCCTCTTTAAATCGTGCAGGGATAATACCAAATGTAATAATGCTATAATGCCAGAAATAAAATGATCACAGTACTAAGAAAGGGGAAAAATGCAACAGTGCAGCAGTGATGACTTGAGTCTGTCTCAACCTTCCATCGGCAGAGCGATCACACTAACAATGACAACACTTTCACAGTTAGTTCATTTCATTTCCACTGGGTGTTTCCACTGGGTGTTGCAGGCTCACAAAAGGACAACCAATCACACCTGTTAAAATAATGCGTCATCCCTAGCAACGGGGTCAACCACACCCCCTCAGTAAGTAGAAGTCTCTGTCCCTTCCTTGCTCAGAGTTGCTCTGAGAACTTTCCTAAATCACTCCTAAGTTAGGACTCCATACTAAAAATGTATAGCTTAGTTAGGAGCTCTCTGTTCTCAGAATGTTTGTGAATACGACCCCAGATGTTTAGGGGGGTTTTAGCAAGAGCAGAGGTCTCCAATTTTAATTACTTTAACCTTTATTTAACCAGGAAGGGTCCCATTGAGTTACAGTAACTCTTCTTCCAGGGAGTCCTGGCCAAGACATGAGTAAAAACACTGAATGGCGCAGTTTTGCTTTAAGAAAAATCTGTGTCTGTCTGACACTTTTTGTCGTGGAGGGGCTGCTAACTATGGTAGCTGACGTGAAAACTTGAATGGCCCTATTTACAGCCAGTGTTTGGTTTGTCTCTTCTGGGCTACTGTAGAAACATGACGGTGGAACATGGCAGACTCCATGGAAGAGGACCCGCTCCCTTTGCAGATAAAAACGGCTGATTCTAAGGTAAAGAAGGCACAACGATTCTTATTTCAGGTGATTACACGCTCAAGGAAACATACTTATATTTAATTACGTTTCTGCGAATATATCCCCCTAAACCCTACACACTGGACCTTTAACTTGTGATCCAGTAATCTAAATTTCTACATTTCCAGCCTCATGACATGAGACTGAGCCACAATCAAACTGGCTCTGTGTGTGTTTCGTGAAGAGAAATGTCACCTGAGTTTCTCCAGCGTGCTCTTCTTATTGGTGAAGAGGAGGCGCAGCAGAGTCTTCCTCTTCAGAAATATGATGACGGTGGTTACCAGGAGGCTGACCAGGGTAACCAGGATTGCCACAGTAATGACCACACTGTCGGCTGATGCCATATATGACAACACGCACATTAATACACACACACGCACATCTACAGCACAGAATGACAGGACATGACGCAAAGACTGTTACAGCTAGGCCACGGTCAGCAGCACACTTTGTGATTCACATTCATCTGTTCTTCACTCTGAGGACTAAAATTCATTTTCTCCCTCTGTTAAAGCTGCAGACTGCACACCGTGTAATGTATTGCTGTGTGGAGGGGGAGTTGTGTTGTTCTAGGAAAGTTACACTCCAGTCCAAACCACACATCAATCCAGCACTGACTCTGCAAGAAGGAGATGTCTAGATGAGTGAGGATGGATATTAAATTGTCCACCCTACCTGCCAGTCTCATTGGCCCGCTGTCGATGCTCCCACCGAAGCCCGCTTTCTCACAGAGCGGAGGGGCCCAGTGTGCTTCACAGTGGCAGTTCTTCTTATTGTTGCACACCTGCAAACAAAGCAGTTCTACTGTAAATTACATGCAATATTGATACTCCTCTTCTCCTGCATAAAACAATATCAAAAAGCATTTGTATTCCCACCAGCTAGACTCCACATATAAATGATGTATGGGCCTGTTCACAAATAACAAGATGAAAACTCAATTGGTTTATTTTTCACAAATAAACCACTCTGATGCAGTTAGACTAAGTGGCTTCACTTGTGTGTGTGTGTGTACTGAGAGTAGTAATAGATAAAACATGTGCAAGGGAGAGTCCATCCTGTAAAGCCTCAGGTTTCCAGTGCTGAAGTTTGATCCAGGAGGATTCCCTGGCGAGGTAACACAGTCCAGCTGTCAGTTGGAGGGAGGGAGGTGCACAGGGAGTTGTGCAGCTGTGGGGGATTTACATTTAGCACAGACGTGCAGTCAAGTGCCTTCCCTGCCTCCAGGCCACGGACACTCCTTCGCACCGGGTTGACAGCGTTAAGAAGCACTTGGGGGGGGGGGGGGGGGACTCGGAGGGAGGTATGACTTTAGGTGTGTGTGAGGGGAAAACACCACCACTTAATGTAAAATGCTAACAGGCACTTAATTCCTCAAAATCCTGTTGAGCTGAGGATGCATACAAAAAACAATTATACGAGGCAGATTATACCCAAAATGCTAATTTGTAAAAGTAATTTCTGAGGGTATCTCGTATATTTGAAATGGTAATAAGATGGAACTGCAGTCAGTCACTGAATACTGTATGAGATGCTCACTCTGTCTCCGTCTTCAGTTTCTCACGTCATCATATCTGATATGTCAGACAAGATGACACTTTGCATTTAGATATATTTATTTGTCGAAGGTGTCTATGGATATAAGGTATGGAAAAGCAACAAATATAGACACCACTGTACCTACAGTCAATACATGCCCAGCAAGATAAAGTGAGTTGACTTGCAGGCAAACAGGATTCTTTAAACCCCCACAGTAAATTCAGATAATCACTACTTTTCCAGTCAGGTCTCGTACTGCGCGAGGTGTCTGAGAAAATGGCAGACAAATTGATTTGGCAGATATTTCTGCAGGGGCGAAGATGCAGCTCAAGTCCACGCTCTTAATGGGAAACCATTTCTCTATACCTCAATTCTCTTGCAAAGCACTTTCTATGTGATTATTTTTATTGCAGTGAGTCAATCAACTCGCAGCTTTGTTGCTGAGCATGTTTTTTTTTTATTTTTATTTTTTTATTGATGGACTAATTTGGTTCAGGGGTCATTTACGAGATAATAAGAAAAAGTTTAAGATACAAGGTGCAATTTTGAGGATCACAGGTTTGGTTTTCTCATTACAAATAATCTCTGCACCGTAAATTGCCATAACTGACGATGAGGGTTGGAGGTTACTGTAAGCTAAACTAGCCCCAGGTGAGCCTTTGATTCCAAAACCCAAACAACAAAATAAATAAAACATAAAAGCACCCGTCCTGATTTATTGATAAGAAACACTAAGGGAGAAAGGTGATCATTTCTTGGCAGGAAGTGTTACTTTCCTACAGCTGTGGTCTCTCCCTGCAGAGCTGCACTGTATCTTCTCACCGTGTAGCCAGAAGATGATGGACAACACCTTAAGTAGGCTATAAATGATGCTGTTAAATGGGATTGATTTAACCTCAGTGGGACAATGAAGATTGATTGTACAGAATAGGAGCATCTGCCATAACTCACAGGCTGCACTGTAAATACATTGCTCTGCCACTGTGTGCAATTACAGGGCTGTAAGTCTTAATTCTGATCAGTCGGTCAAAAAGTGACTAAACAGATAAATACAGGGTCCTCACAGAGACGCTGCACTGTTTTACAGGCTACAGTGTATAATCTAACACTAATATTGAGCTGCTAGGTACTTTGCACTCACCCCACGTCCATTGCACTTCCCAGAGCACTCATGCACACCAAAGACACTGACATTCTGGCACTGGCGATTCAGGCACACCTATAAAGAGGGAAGCATCATTAGGCATTTTTCAAGAAGTACAGAAATGAAGAGCCAAAGAAGATGAAGACAAAGACCAAGAAAAAGTGTCCACAGTTGAATCATATGGGTCTTGGATGTGCACTGGTTAAGCAGCAGGTGCATGACTGATGCCTGCTGCATGTAGATGCTGCACATCTACTCAGAGGAAAGACTACATTTGCAGGTTGTCTGTTTTTGTGTATAATCAAAAATAACAATTTTAACTGAAAAAATGACAGTCTTTAACCACTGCCTATTTGGTTCATCTTAGTTTTTACTTTTTGATGAAGTCGTTTAACACCCCATTGATTTGAACTTTGTTTTTGTAAAGGCCTGTTTATTTGGGAAATGCTTGTTTGGGGATTTTTGTTTTCATTTTTTAAATGCGACAGTCACGACAATCAGTTCATGACGTCATTCTGCAACTCTCTACACATCCTGCAAATCAATCAACTCTCTTTTGTTTGTTTTTTTTTGAGCATTTTTGCCTTTATAGATAGGATAGTTAAGTGTGAAGGGGGAAGAGAGAGGGGTAATGACATGCAGCAAAGGGCCACAGGCTGGAGTTGAAACCGGGCTGCTGCGGCAACAGCCTTGTACATGGGGCGCCTGCTCTATCCACTAAGCCACCAACGCCCCAAGTCAATCAACTCTTAACCCTTAGATGCATGACCTACCAATACCTACACTCTTCCATAAGTGGGGTCAAAAATGACCCCAATTAGAATCAATGCGTTTTATGTGATAAACTTAAGCAATTTCTTTCATTTTGGTTAAAGATGATTATTTGTATTATATTTTGGTCAACAAAAGAATGACTTCATGTTTGACATGTTCATTTATCACTTTTTATTAACATTTTGACAACTAA